TGGATGGATGATGGATGGATGGTGGATAGATGGATGATGGATGGATGGATGGATGGATGATGGATGGATGGATGGATGATGGATGGATGGATGGATGGATGATGGATGGATGGTGGATAGATGGATGGATGGATGATGGATGGATGGATGGATGGATGGATGATGGATGGATGGATGGATGATGGATGGATAATGGATGGATGGATGGATGGATGATGGATGGATGGATGGATGGATGATGGATGGATGGATGGATGGGTGGTGGATAGATGGATGATGGATAGATGGCAGATGGATGGGATGAATGGATAGATGGATGGACAGACAGATGGATGGGTGAACAGATGGGTTATTAATGAATGGATGAGTGGATGGATGATGGATGGATGGATAGATAGATGGTGGATAGATGGATGAATGGATGGATGGGTGAACAGATGGGTTGAATGAATGGATGAGTGGATGGATGATGGATGACGGATGGATAGATGGATGAATGGATGGATGGTGGATAGATGGATGATGTATGGATGAGCAGATGGATGGATGGACAGATAGATGACAGGCAGATGGGTAGATGATGATGAATAAATGGATGATGGATGGATGGATAATAGCTAGATAAGTGGATAGATGGATAGATAGGTGGGAGGCCAGGAAAAAAATAGAAAGCTCAGCAAGAGACAGAGACAAACACCTTAGAGCTAAAACCCAAATTCACGTGCCTGGGTGCCGTCTGTCTCTCCATTTCACAATGCTTTTGTCTATCACATCACCTTGTGACTTATTGACATTCAGCCAAAAGAAGACCAATAAAGATTTGTAAGTAGCTTTAATACCACAAACAAATTGTACCCATTTTAGAGCTCTTACTCTGTCTGTGGATGGAAGTCATGTTCTCAAGGGCATCTTGTGCACCAATGAAAAAGAAAATCAGGTTGATTTTGTGTGCTCATGAGATTGTAGAAGGCCATTAAAAGGCATCATCAAATGCTAATTAAAGTTGAGGGGGATCATCAGACAAGCATGCTGACGTAGAAATTCACATAAGAAATTATCCTCCTGCTCGTGCATGATTTGACTGACCTGAACTTTTAATTTGGCAACTGAATTAACAAAGGGATGCTATTTATTTCCTTCTTTTGATCATTCATTTTAATTTTATGGTGTGTTGTTGTGTCACAATACTGGTATGTTAGTTTTGAGAGACTTCCATAAGAAATTACCACAAACTCAGAGGCTTAAAGAGCAGAAATCTATTCTCTCACAGTTCTGGAAGCCAGGAGTCTGAACTCAAGGTGGTGGCAGGGCTGTGCTCCCCTGAGGCTCGAGAGAAGCGTCCTCCCTGCCTCTCCTCCACTTGGGGCTGCAGCTGCCTCACTCCCCTCGCTGCCTCCTTCTTCATATGCCCTCCCCTCTGCCTGAGTCTCTTATATACCTAACACCCAGTGAATAATCCTGGGCGCTGTCCTCTTGAGATCCTGAACTTGTTACATCTGCAAAGACCTTATTTCCAAATACCATCATGACCACAAGGTTCTGGGGGAGGGGACATGTAGCATCTTTTGGGGAGCACTGTTCATCCCACCACAACCAGCATCCCAGACTGTGTGTACACTAAACGCACAGCCCCCTGTCAGCATATGGTGGGTATTAGAGCCATAGAAGCCCCAACTCCAAGACGCCCAATGAAGTCACTTTCTGGGTTTTTTGGAGGTAGAATATAAGTATTTGCAAAGATACAAGCAGTGTATCAGTAAAAAGCCTCTCAGTGCATATGATTCCAATTAAAAGTCCAAGTGTTAAAGGGAAAAAAATAAAGATATCAGGGTGGCGCCTGTGGCTCATAGGAGTAGGGCGCCAGCCCCATATGCCAGAGGTGGTGGGTTCAAACCCAGCTCCAGCCAAAAACTGCAAAAATAAATAAATAAATAAATAAAGATATCATCAGATCTACCGGAGGTGGGACACCAACCAAAGCTTCCTCTCAGAAGGGGAGATTTTAAATGGGGAGAGGGTCTGCAGGTGGGAGAAGTGACCCCAGAAGAGGTACAGCCAGGGAACTTCAGCAGCAAGGGCAGCGGTTGGGCAGTGAGTGGCGTCACAGAGGCGCAGGTGGCATCATTGTCATGTGCACTGTCTGCTGAGGGACCGTAAGAGCAGTGGCATCTTGTTACAAGATGTCACAGTCCTCAGTTGGGTTCCAAGTAAAAATAAGAAGCTGGAAAATGTGCAGACATGGAAAGAGAAGAGTCTAGAATCTCAAGTCTCAGACTATCAGAACTGAATGATCCTGAAATCATATTTTATGGATAAAACTGGGCCTGACACATATATTTGAAGCCACTTCCAATGGCTTCACATGGATTAACCTCACACCAGGTCCCAGGACCCTGTGAGGCCAGCAAGGCAGGCATCACCACCTCTGTTTTTTGGAGGAGCCAGTGGAGGCTGAGAGAATGAGACTCATGGTGGAGTTCGCAGCTGTGACCCTGGGAATCTGAAGCCAGTGTCCTTCCACTCCACCTCTTCTGGGCAGAAGAGCTTCACTCGTGTTGACCACACGACTGCATCAATGGCTCCCACTAAACTTCCTGCCGTACTTGATGCCTTGAGGCTGCTCCTTGAGCTGACAAATGCTCGCAGGGACCAGCTGGGGGCCGTGGGCTCTGAAGTCTTCTCTGAGTCCTGACGTCCTGTGGGGTGTGTGCATGACGTGCCTCAGAACCTCCTGGCTCTTCGGGTTCTGCAGCCTCAGGGAGCCTCACTGCTCCTCCCCTGTCCTTGTTCCTCACCCCTGGAGGTCTGGTTTGCACAGATCAGACTTAGATCTCTTGAAGCTTCAGTGACCTCCTTTCTCACAACCCCAAACACATCTGCCCTGCATAGAGAGTGGGGTAAAATCTGACACAAAGCTTACTATTCCTAGCCTGAGGCCCAGAGAACATCTAGTTTTCAAATCATTTAAAATGCCCTTTGTGTATCTAGCAAGACCGGTTGATGAGAAAGGCCTGGTGAAGCCGGCATGAAGGGACAGAGCAGGGTGAAGACGGGCTGTGCATCCCAGCCAGCGGCTGGTAGTGTGGGCTGGATAGATCAGGTCACCTCCAAGAAACTTTGTCTTTCCATCAGAAAAAGTAAGAGCAAAAATAATCACAATTTCAGATCGAAAGGGCTGTTGTGAGAATCAAACCATAAAAATGCACGTTCGAGCAAGAAAACCCAGGGGAATGATGGGTATTACGTCACTGTTCCTGTCATCTGTCAGAACCCTCCATGTCCCACCCCCGAGAGAAGACCCAGTGCCCCCCTTCAGGCAAATTTCTGGAAACCTATGTAAAGGCTGTAAGTGACATGGAGGTGTTTCACGTAGCAGAAACCCCAAATGATACCAATAGGGCGCAGCATGACAGCTAGATGGCAGACCTCAAGTTTCAGCCTAAGGAGCTAAATATAACCTATAATCGGACACAGCGGAATTTGATTTGGGAGTTGCAATGAAACTGTGCATCTAGTTCTAATGAGAGCTGAGGGCACGGACGACCGCCAGCTGGCTCTAATGAGAAGGCATAGACGAGCTGGACATCCCCAGCCCGATGATGGACGTGTGGCAGTGTTGGAGTGGGGATGAGAGGAGACCAGAACTGACAGGAGTGTGAGACACGCCCCAGGCTTCCCACGTGGACAGGAGCTGTCGGGGATGTGTGGCTAACAGAGATTGCCACGTGCCAGATGGAAAACTCTCTGGGGACGCTCACAAGTAGTCACGACCCAGCCCACGCCCCGTTCCTCTACACGACTTGCTCTCACAGAAGGTGGAGAAAACAGTACAAGGGGCTGGTGACTCTGGAATTGGTTGGGCCTGATAATCACTGGCTGGGAGTGAACTCACATGACAAACAGTGACCAAGTGCTCCATGGACGCTGCAGTGTTATCTGAGTGGCCACAGTGCAGCCAACAAGCAGCATCCACCCTCACAAAGCTTCTAGTCTAACAAGGGAGGCAGAAAAAACAGCCTGGGGAACCTTAGAAGCAGTTGAGTATCCATGACCAGTGACATAAAACCACTTGAACAAAAGCTTAAGCAAATGCTGAACTTTGTTAAAAACCTGGAACCCACCAGGTGGCCCCATCAGAAACCCCGGTGGTGGCTCTTCTCTCACCCTCTGCCTCGCTTTAGGCTGGTGTGGCCTCCAAATTGTATTCGCTGCCCTGAGATTTTGCCTTGCTTTGTTTTGCAGGGACCTGAAGCTGGATAATATCCTCTTAGACAAAGACGGGCACATCAAAATAGCGGACTTCGGGATGTGCAAGGAGAACATCCTGGGCGACGCCAGGACAAACACCTTCTGCGGGACGCCCGACTACATCGCCCCCGAGGTAGGGACGTGCCTCCCCGAGGTCCCCACAGCCCTGTGCTGTGGTTCTCCCCCTCAGAACCAGAAGGGTTTGGGGTCCAAGATTTGCACTTGTTTTTTTCCTCAATGCCGCCGCACCAGTCACTGGTTGCTGCTTTGTATGGGGGCTGCTCCTGTCATTAAGTGCCACATCTATCCAAAGCCCAGAGAGGTTGACCTGCCCCTCTGCTCATGGCTGTGACCCACCCGCAGCCTTAAAATATACTCACTGAGCTCAGCTCTCCCAGGAGCAGCAGCCAGTAAGGAGCCAGGTAGAAGTGAATCCCCACCGACACCGAGTGCTGTGTCTGTGGGCTCAGGAGGCCTGAGCACAGCTTCCAGGCTGCCCCATGTGAGCACGGAGAGGCTGCCACAGTCACACCAGCCCCGTTTCCCCCTCACTGGGGTCCTAATGGCATTGTGAGCCTGGGAAACTTAAACTCACCCACCCCAACCTCCCCCCCAAAATAATAATAAAACATCACTACCTCCTTCTGAGCACCCACGGCGTTGGTGAAGAAGGCATGGTCAGTCTGACCACACCCACCCATCTCCCCCACTGCCCATCCAGGGAGATCGGAGACCCCCCACCACGTGGTCCTTCCCACAGCAGAGCTGTCCTGGCTGCTTTGGGCTCTTCCCACATTTCTTCTCAAGTCAAAGACTGTTTCTTGTTCTTTTTTAAAAAACCTTTTTATTTAGAAATAATTACACATTCACAGGAAGGATCAAAACCAGTATAGAAACTTATCCTTATCTACCCTGCTCCCAGCTCCCCCCAGTGGTGACATGTCGCATAGCTGTGGCACCACAGCAGAGCCAGGAAAGTTGACATCAGTCCAAGGGGCAGGGGGGTTTATGCCATTGTCTCACAGGGGCAGATTTGAGTGACCTTATTGTTCACTTTTGTATATCTAATGACCTAGAGCAGGGTGATGGTAAATGCCTTGTAGAAATATGAATGGATGAATTAGTTACTAAATGCGTGAATTCCTGATGGCTGTTTGATTAAGACAGTAACTGACCTCTGATTTCCTGGGTTAAATAACTTTAGCAGCAAATCCCTGTCATTGCCAGAGTAATTACGGCAGCCCACATCTAAGAACCCTGTGGCTTTTCTCTGTGGTCGTGTGGTGTTTAATTTTAATTTAACCTTGTTTAAAAGCAGGGTTGGCCCATCTTCCGTGAGAAACTGGGGCTTTCAGCTTGCAAAGCATCATTGAGCCCACAGAGCCTGGTTCATCGATTTAATAACTCTGATATTAGAAATCTCTGCTTCATGCCGGTTGGCACCAGCACAGATATTGACGCACTAAACCATTTCCAGGTGAAGTGAGGCCAGAGCTAATTAAGGCAGGAGGGAAGGACGCCTCTGAGGACGGACTCAGTTCAAGCTCTGAGTTCCCCTTCCTAATACTTCTAAAATACCCGGAGGATGTTGGTTCTGTTCTGAGCACCACATTTCAAGAAGAAAACTGCCAAATGCAAGATATTTGGAGGGCAGCAGCCCAAATGTGGAAGGCTCTGAAAACCACCTCCTGTGAGGAGCAAAGACAGGAGATGGCGGAGGCGCCTCCGTCCCCGCCGCCTCACACGAGCTCCCTCCATCCTCCCCTTTCCACCTGCGGAGGTCTCAGTGTGTTGGCTTTACCCTTATCCACTCCAGCAACATGTGCTTTATGCCTCGTCCTTTCCCTGCAAACCTTCCTTTCTGATTCTATTTCCTTCTGCACCTTCTGGAATCTTCCTCCCAGGACTTGCTTCTCTCTTCAGAGCCTCGCCCCTTCCTCCCATCTCCATGCATGCCTGTCTGCAGGTGACCTCACGCTTGGTCCCCTGCTCCCGTCCTCATCCTGCTCATTCTCCACAAGCAGCTTTATCTATAGCTGTGGTTTTAGCTCCAGAACCAACACGCATGGCTGGAATTCTTATTCCACCATCCGCTGTCCCACTCGAAGTGCCCAGGCGTCTCCAGAAAGGACCAACCCACGCTCACTCCCTATTGAACTTGTTCCCCCAGCCCGCTTCCTTTTTTCCTTTTTTCCTTTTTTTTTTTTTTCAGAAATTATATGTCATCTGCTTAGTCACCTTGATTGAAAACTAGGAGTCATCCAAGTTTTCTCCTTCTTTCTTACCCCTCACATCCAGCCAAACACGGACCGTCTGAAACTGGAACTGTCCTGTTCATTCCCTCCCAACCCTAGGACTGAATTAACACCCTCCCTTGATTCCTTCTCTAAGCTCAGAAATAAGGGTCTGGGGCCAGGCAGGGTGGCTCACACCTGTAATCCCAACTCTCTGGGAAGCCAAGGCAGGTGGATTGCCGGAGTTCAGGAGTTCAAGCAAGAGCGAGACCCCATCTCTAAAAATAGTGGGGGTGGTGGCAGACGCCTGTAGTCCCAGCTACTCCGGAGGCTGAGGCAAGAGAATCACTCGAGCCCAAGAGTTTGAGCTTGCTGGTGAGCTGACGCCACGGCTCTCTACCAAGGGTGACAAAGGGAGAATCTGTCTCCAAAAAAAAAAAAAAACTTGAGGCTCTGATTTACTCATCAAAGACGCTCCAGTCACCCCCACCTTCACAGCTGCCACTCCAATCTGGGACACCAGCATCTCTGGCCCTGGATCTCAGTGACATCCCTCTACCTGGCTTTGCTACCTCTCCACTCATCATCTCACATCCTCATTACATATTCTCAAATTTTTTGATTAGTTAAAAAAGCACCTCCACGATATGTGTTTATTTATACATGAATCACGTGCATTATTGTCAACTCGTGTGGTCTAGGTGTTAGTTACCTAACACACCTAAAAAGGAATATAATCACAGCACAGTTCAGTTGGTTTTGCTAAAAGCCAGAAGAGCAAATGGAAAATCAAAAATGTTTGCTCAACACGCAAACTCGAAAACCTTGGCACTGGATAGTCATTTCTATCCAGTCCTCAGCTGGTCAGGAGACCCAGTTTTCAGTGTGAGCTTTGTGGAAACCACAGGTGTCATTACCAACAATATCCACAGAAGGGCTTTGAGAAGTTGGGGAGGCCTGTCACGACCTCCTCTCTTCCCCTCATGTCTCGGCCTTTTGGTTCTCAGATCTTGCTGGGTCAGAAGTACAACCACTCTGTGGACTGGTGGTCCTTCGGGGTGCTCCTCTATGAGATGCTGATCGGCCAGTCGCCCTTCCACGGCCAGGACGAAGAGGAGCTCTTCCACTCCATCCGCATGGACAGTCCCTTTTACCCTCGGTGGCTTGAGAAGGAGGCAAAGGACCTCTTGGTGAAGGTAAGAGATGAGATGAGTACTGGGTTTTCTGATCGGCATTCCGTTCCTGTCTAGATTCTGACTGAGGCTGGTGAACAGTGATCACTTTGCCCCGGGTTTAAATGGGATACGCGCCGTCTCTGTGCTAAGCAAGGCACCAGTACTGTTGGTGAGCATTAGACGTCAAGACGTTAGACGTCAAGCATAAGATAAGCATGGCCGTGTGTCACTTAGGAAAGAAAAGCCCAGGACCAGCTCCGTGACTCTTGAGTACCCTCACTGGGAGGCGTGGTTGGTCCACCGAACAAGCATGGTTTGTGGTTTGAAACTCAAACTTCTGTTTCCCATAGTGGGTGTTAAAAGTGTTGAGTCATTTCATCTTCCCTTGCCCCGGGTTGAAAACGTGGACGGGATACCTGCCTTTTCTGCTTACTCTTCGGTAAAAGACAAAACTACTGTCTCTCTGAAGGCATAGAACTGGCTCAGTCAAGAGATTAAAACCATTCAGGCCAAGATGTTAGTCATCACAACAATCTCAGCTTTAAACTAAGACTCTTGATCCCTTCCCTCCGGTCAGGGCTCCTGGGTGCTGGTCGCTCACCTTTGGAGAAGGGAGAGTGGTCTTGTCCTCACGCTTTCCTCTCCAACTCCTGAGTTTCTGCCTTAGATGCCAGAAGGTAGAAGCTGAGAGGGGACGGGAAACACGCAGAAAGGCTGGGTGTCCTCATACTTTTTCAACCTGGAGGGAGGTTAAAGCTGAGACTGTTGTGAGGCACTCCAGTAGCTTGTTTGTTTATTTTTTAAGAGTGTGAAAAGTTTTTTGTTTTTTTTAAATTTCAGATTAATATAAAGGTTCAAATGATTATACTCTATTTGTTAAGTAGAGTCCAAGTTGTAGTTCTGCCGCTCACCAATAAACCCTTACCCTGTGCTCATTAGGTGAGAACTCACCCATCCCACTCCCTCCTCCCTTCTCCCCCTACTTGAGTTTAATCATGTCTTTCTCTAGTGTGGGCCTGTAGTTCTCATCTACCAGTTTCATACTAGTATTGAGTACACTGGATACTTGATTTTTCCTTCTTGTGATACTGTCCTAGGGAAAATGTTCTCCAACTCCACCCAGCTTAATACAAAAGATGTAAAGTCTCCAACTTTTTTATGGCTAAGTAGGATTCTATGGTGTACATACACCCATGGGTTGACAGGCACGTGGGTTGGTCCTACATCCTGGCAATTCTGAATTGAGCTGTGATAAACATTCTAGTGCAAATATCCTTGTGATAGAATTTTTTTGAGGAGGGGTAGATACCTAGTAATGGTCTTGTGGGATCAAATGAAAGGTCTCTAGTAAGTTCTTTGGAAATACTTATCCCTGGAGGTATTTTTGGCTCAAACTTTTGGGCTATGCAATCCATTCCCCAGCCTACGTACTCTACCCATACTGACTCAGCAGCACTTCCTACTGTTGGTTTCCTGTCCAGAAGACCTTCTTAGGCGGTATAGTTGACCCTTGAACAAGTCAAGGGTTAGGGGCACTGATCCCCTGCACAGTTAAAAATCTGCAGAAAACTTTTGACTCCCCCCAAATTTAACTACTAATGACCTATTGACTAGAAACCTTGAGGTAACATAAACAGCTGATTAACATATATTTTGTATGGTCTATGTATTATGCATTATATTCTCACAATAAAGCAAGCTAGAGAAAAAATGTTACTAAGAAAATGATAAGGAAGAGAACGTGTCTTTACTCTTCATTACATGGAAGTGGATCGTCATGGTCCTCATCCTCCTTGTCTTCACATTGAGTAAGCTGAGGAGGAGCAAGGGGGTGGGTCTTGCTATCTCAGGGGCAGCAGAGATAGGAGAGGTGAGGGAGGGGAGGCGGGAGAGCAGGTGCACCCGGTGTGACTTTTATTGAAAGTAATCTGCATGTAAGTGGACCTGTACAGTTCATACCCACCTTGTTCACAGGTCACTGTACTTAAAATGCTCCCCCTGCATGCCCTGCCCATTGTCCACTGGACATATTGTCAATTTCTTCACCCTAACAAACTCTGAGACTGCAGGCTATTACCGTCTTAGCAGCAATCTCCAGAATTCACTATCAAAGTAGAAGTCAGAATTTACCATCAAAGCAGACCCCAATCCATGACAGCCCAGGATCCAGTGAGACCAGCATGCAGTGCTCCAGATGGATGCTGGGCTCTGAAAATCACTAGCCCAGAGCCAGGAGCTCCCAAGGCAAACCAGTGCAGAGATGTAAGAATCTCTGAGAGCATCATGAAAGACTTGGACTTTATGGGGAGACAAAATGCAATCTATAGTGTCAGAGTGTAGCCAGGTGTAAAATGAAAGTGGATCACATCAATACAACATGCTAAATACATATAAAAATATGTATTTAATATGCATATAATAAGGACCAAGATTAACTACATTAACTGAGCTGTCCCAGCAACTTTTTATAGCAAAGAGACCCACCAGTGTGATCAAGTGTCTAGCAAATCTAGAAGTGAATACAGATATTTGGGAAGAAACATTGTTTTGATCTTTATGATTTCATATGTCAGCTGCTTAAAGAAATCATCATTCAAGGAAATAATTTTTAGTCTTGATCTTGCTATACTGAAAATGGGAACAGAATGGAAGCTATCAGTGGGTTTTAAGTTAAAACTTAGAAAAGCACTTAGCAGGCTCATCTTCTTGCCCTCATCTACTTTTTTCTCTTGAAGAACTACTTGGAATTAAATTTGAAAGGAATACACTTCCACCTCTCTAATAAAGGTGACAACTTGTGTAGGGTAAAAGAAATTTTGAGGCAAGTACAGAGCTCTCTCCCTAGGGAATAAAGACCTTGAATCTGAGAAGTGTTGACTAAGCCCTCAGCCCCAACCATAACAAAATGAGGTATTTAAAAATCTAAGCTGGTTTCATTCAGTGCTCACTTTCTGACGGTGATCCACACAAGCAATAAACACAAAACTCCCTCAACGACCAATTAAATTCACTTTTAATGACCGAGCAAAACACATCTTAAATGAAAGCCTAATTTCAAAATTGACCAATAAAAAATGATGGCAACCATAAACATATGTTAGTGGGATCCAAATGTAAACGGTTTGCTCTACACAAAGGCAAGTTCAAACTTTATTACAATCACTACATTTATCTTACGCTTGGCTCTGAGAAGGACTCAGTGGGAAGTCCCTTACTCAGCTTGGTACAGGATCCCAGAGACTGGGTGGGTTAAACAAGACATTCATTTCTCACAGTTATGCTCTGGAAGCTGGAAGTCCAAGATCAAGGTGTCCAGAAGGGTCCGTTCCTGGTGAGGGCTCTCTTCCTGGCTTGTGGGCAGCTACCTTCTTGCTATTCTGATATGGAAGAGACAAGGATTGAGGGAGAGAGAGAGAAAGAGAGCAGCACCGAGCTCTGGTCTCTCTGGTCTCTCTTTTGTATCAGGATTCTAATCCTGTTGGATCAGGGCCCCAGCCTTATGACCTCATTTAACTTACTTATCTCCCTAAGAGCTCCCTCTACAGTCATACTGTGAATTTTGAGGGAGCACAACTGAGTCCATAGTATAAGGGCTACACCGAGAGACCTAGGCCAACAAAACCTACTAGAAAAAGAAGTGAGGAAAAAGCTTGGTCTTTAGAGGGCTGAGGGTGCCCGAGGTCCTAGGACTCCCTTCATGCAAGTCACAGATGGAAGCCCTGGAGCTACAGTTGAAATCTCCCAACACCTGGTGATGCTCCATAAAAACCAGGCTTCCCACACTGTACCTCCCACACCTAGCTCAACCCCGGGATCCCAGACAGCTTCAGACAAAGACTGAGGGTCAAGGGGTGTCAGAGGCCCAATGGAGCTAACCAGAAATGACTCCAGGGAGAGACGTTGGGAGTGATGCTTTCAAAGGAGAGCAAGGGTGGGTAGGAGGAAAGGATCACCCTTCTAGCAAGATGGGAAACGCTGATCAGCTATGTGCGTGGAGTCATACCTGGCTGCAAGGACCCAGATGTCGATACACAGAGCAATCAGCTATGTGCATGGAATCATACCTGGCTGCAAGGACCCAGAAGTTGGTACACAGAGCAATCAGCTATGTGCATGGAATCATACTTGGCTGCAAGGACCCAGAAGTTGATACACAGAGCAATCAGCTATGTGCATGGAATCATACCTGGCTGCAAGGACCCAGATGTTGGTACACAGAGCAATCAGCTATGTGCATGGAATCATACCTGGCTGCAAGGACCCAGAAGTTGGGTCTGGAGCAATCTGGAAGCCATAATGCTGAGTGCAAAGCACCAATCTCAAAAGGTCATGCTCCCTGAGTCCATTTACTTAACATCAGTAAAAGGACAAAGCTGCAGAGATGGGAATCAGATTGGTGTTGCCGGGGGTGAGGCGTCGGGAACAGGAGAGTAGGCGGCACAAGACAGATCTTTGTGGTGATGGATCAGCTCGAATCTGACTTGTCCTGGGATTGCCCAGATCTGCACGTGGGATAAAATGGCACAAGCAGCTCCCATCACACCAGTGCCGGTGTGGGAAGTGCTGTGACGTGGGCCAGATCCATAGGGGACAGCAGTGAGGAGCTCTCGGGTCTGTACTGTCCTGGGAATCTATAATTATTTTAAATATTTTTGAACCAAAACTAAATCTAAGCTAAGAGACAGGCAAATACCAAAAATAAGAGTTTTTGCGGCAGGAGGAAGATTTGCTTCAAGAGCAGAAAATGAGTCCAAGTCGAGAGGTGCAGAAACCAGGGCAGTTAAGGACAAAGAAGTAAACGGAGGCGGCTTTTAAATTCACCCAGAAGAGTTTGGGTTTCTCCTCCTACATGGCTCACAGATACGCTATGCCATTTCTCTTGCACGTACTCTTACAGGTGGGCTGATAAAAATTTGTCCCCATCATGCATTTTGCTGCCCATAAGACTGGCTTCCAGGTTTTATCTTTATTCCTCGTTTGCTTTGATCCATCAGTGCCCACAGCCCCATTTTCTCTAAAAATTAAAGGTAAGGCTGTTTTCCAGGAATTTTCTCCAGGGAGTTTGATATAATGTCATGGAACCCAGATGTCATAGGTCCTCTGGAACAGTCAGACACAGCAGCCTTTAGTGGCTCTGTTACAGCATCAGCTCCAGACTCTGCAGCTGACCCTCCCTGGACATGGATTCATGTAGCGCACTGAACAACTGCACGTTGGGAGATGCTGGGCTCCCTCAAGGGTAACAGCTGGAACACCCTTGTCGTCCTCATTGATTCATCCAGGATGTGCTGTCTGCTTGTTTGAAAGTAATGGAAACTAATAACCTTGACCAGAAATACTCCTCCCTTTTATAGAAAGACGAGTCTGCAGAGGGCTGCAGGGGAAGGGAGGTTCCAGGTACGATCTGTCAGCAGACACTGCAGTCCTCCCCCACCGTCCGGAACTGTTATTTTGCCCAGACTGTCCAATAAGTTTAAACAAACTTCCTCGCATCCTAGCCATTTGCTTCCTATAAATGTAAACCACCCTGCTGACGGCGTTTACGGACAGAGCGAGTCTCTCCTCACGAATCCTACTTCCTCTCTGCAGCTTTCCTGCCGTGAAGCCGCTAGCCTGGCCCCCTCATGAGGCCACTGGTCATCTTCCGGACCTCTGTGGGCTGAGTGGCTGCAGAGCAGAGAATGTTATACTTTACTAATCTGCACAAAACTGGTATTGAACCTCCACGCTGGAAATCATAATCTCATTATACATTTTTTTAATATATTTTTAAAATTTCACGGGTACATATGCCAAGTTCAGAAGGTTCTACGTGGTGATCCCCTCAATACAAATGCCACATGGTCACCGAAAATCTGGCAAATCATGGAAAACCTGGCATGATTTGTACTTGGCCCAAGGCAGTTACTTGTGACTGAATTTCATTAGAACAGCAGGAACTGGTTTGCAGACTCCTCCTGAGACATTTACACCTTCATTCCAACCTCGGTTCACCAAAAGGTTCTTAAAGAAGGTTATACAATGCGGAATGTTTAAATCAAACTGATCAATACACCATCACCTCACACAAACCGGAACTATTACATGTGATAGGTCTATGTACCTATTCCAACTTACATACAAATCCTACTTAAGAACAAACCTAGAGAATCTGTCTTGTTTGTAACACAGGGACAACCTGGAAATCTCCTGGACAACTGTCTCCTGTGATTTCCACTGGACAGCAGTTTCCTAGCTAGTGCTTTGGAACCAGCTTTTCACAGAGTCCTCAGTGGCCCCCATGGCTGTGCCAAGGGTACGCCAGTCAGAGGTACTGGCTGGTTGCATGAAAATTTCCCTAGGAATTTTAGAAGAGATTCCTTTTTAAAAATGAAAAACAAAATCTCTACCGTGCTACAGTTTCACCTGTGCTACATTTGTTTAGTAGAGTCGAGCCTTTGACAGCTTCAGCGTGGTAAAGCAGCCCAAGTGAAGCGTGTCCAGAACACCCAGACTGGACACTTCTGTAAACAGTAAACCATGAGACCCTCGCAGTTTAGCTGCCAAAGGCAGTGAGGCCCTGGCAGAGCCCCTGGACGATGGCTGCATTTTGCTGTGTTTCCTGTTGTAAAGATCCATCGCCTCCTTGAAACACCCTGTCACTCGTGGTTGCTTCACAAACATCTGGCTGATGTCAGGACAGTGGGTGACCCCTCCAGACACCCAGGGGACCCGCAACTTCCCTAATTAATGTTCAGATGCTTCTGGCCCTTCATGCCCTTGGCAGGTTTGTGGAAGCTGGAAAGGTTGCCAAGTTTCTTTCCTGTCTGGCACGTGTTCACTTTGACCTCTGAGAGGACAGTAAGGGGAGAGGAAGACATAGGGGAAGGTTCCCTGGTGGACCCCTCAGAGAGGATAAGACATCGAATTACCGTTACCACCCAGCAGGTTTGCAGAGGCAGGACTCATGTCCTCTACTCAGATGCCTCGTCAAGGCCGAGCCGACTGTCGGGGACTAGTTTGTATTATACCTAATTCCTCACCAAGCGGGAATCCTAAGAAGGCAGCTTTGTAAAAACTTAGACTCAATTGGTGGATCGCCCATCAAATGGCAAATAAATTGACTACTTACTCGATGCCATTGGGTTTTACAGACCAGGAGTTAGAGTGACTGTGTGTGCGCATGTGCATGCATGTGTGTGTGCACCTGTGTTCATGTGTGTGTGCCTGAGTGTGCATGTGTTCACGTGTGTGCCTGTGTTCACGTGTGTGCATGCGTTCATATGTGTGTGTGTGTGTGCCTGTCTGTGTGCCTGTGTGTGGGTGTGTTCGTGTACATGTGTGCCTGTCCACACCTGTGTGTGCATGAGGGTATGTATTGCCATTTCATCCATCTTGGCTCTTGGCTCTCTGTCCAGGGAGGAAACTGGCTCAGGGGTCTGCCCCTTGCTGGGGTCCTAAACTTCTGGCAAAGGTGATTTCAAGCCAGGTCCATAAGACTCAGAAGAAAGCCCACCAAAGGCAAAAGGCCAGGGGGCCAAAGCCCGGACTCCAGAACATTCAGAAAGGCTCCTTGGGGGAGAGCATCGGGACCAGGCGACTTGGGTCAGTCTTTCTGAAGCCAGCTGGCTGAGCAGGCAGCTGGCTCGTCCCTCATCCCGAGAAGTAAAGGGCTTCTCTCCTCTCCCCTCCAGCTCTTCGTGCGAGAACCTGAGAAGAGGCTGGGCGTGAGGGGAGACATCCGCCAGCACCCTTTGTTTCGGGAGATCAACTGGGATGAACTTGAGCGGAAGGAGATCGACCCACCTTTCCGGCCTAAAGTGGTAAGGGCGCGCCGTGGGGCTGCTGGGTTCAGCCTGCTCACTCCACTAGGGCTCTGCCTGCCCCAGCGACCTCCCTCCTGCTCCCTGCCCCGCCCTCCGGGAAGAATGCGCTGCCTTCATCCAGGCTCCTGGGCTAGTTGGGGATGGTAAGGTGAAGAGGTTACTCTTGCTTGCAAAATGTAACCTCTGCGTTCAAGTTACACCTGCATGAAGGCGGCTGCGTGCAACTGCCCCGAGTCGGTACGAGACGAGGCTTTGCACCTGCCACACACACCCCACAGGGGCTACAGCCTGGGTGATCCAACGTTGTGCATAAGCCCTGCTCCCTATCTCAGGAATCTGGAGCCATTTTTAACAATATTTATTACAGTTTGTTGTCATCTGTAATGCGTGCATGTGACTACATTCCCCAGGAGCAATTGTTAGGTGGTCTTCAGCTTAAGAAAAAAATTAATACATTGGTACTTAGCAAAAGATAGATCTCTAAATTCTCACATAGATACTTGCTAACAGAAGTCACTAATCCCACACCGGGAAAGGCAGAACAACCTGGAACATGCAGGGAGGGCCACGATAAAGAGGAAAGTAAAGCCGGGTTGGGATGAAAACGTGCTGGAGCTGGACGGTGGGGACGGCCGTACAGCAACCTGAGTGTCCTTAATGCCACAGAACTGTGCACTGAGAACCTGTGCAGATGATCAATTTTACAGTATGCATAGTGTGCCATCATTTTCTTAAATAAATAACAGTTTGTAAAAGGTCAAAGCAAAATGGTGGGTTTGCCAGCTGTAACCATTCCTCGTGATTGCAGGATGTGATGGAAAGGGACTGTCCCTGCCGTGTCTTTGCACACGGGCTTGTGGGGTTCACAGCCCAGCGTTCACCCCAGGAGATGGCCACAGTTGTTAGTCGTGATAGCAGGTGGCCAGAAGAAGCAAATAAATGCCCCTTCTTCCTACTGTGTTTCCCCAAAAATAAGACCTACCCAAAAAATAAGCCCTAGCAGGATTTCTAGTTAAATATAAGCCCTACCCCGATAATAAGACCTAGCGATGGGCGTGGCTATGCAGCACATCTGCATAGTGGAGATGGAGCATGGGTGCGGAGAGGAAGACATCCCCTGAAAATAAGCCCTAGTGTGTCTTCTTGAGAAAAAATAAATATAAGACAGTGTCTTATTTTCAGGGAAACACGGTAGAATTAGGATAGGTGTTCTCAACGTTTGTCCCAAGCTCTGGGGACATTCTGAAGGTTCAGTGGACTAGCCTCTCACACTCCAGCCATTTGTACCATTCCCGTATCTAGCACGTGGATTCAGCATTTGTTTGCAATAATGTGGAGTTTTACCTGGCCTTAGCTATCAGAACAATCATGTCTCACCTTGCATGGCAGATTAAAATTGACTTGCTATTTTCCAAATCAAAATCAGAACTTTTAAGCGTACCCTGTAAGTCAAGTTCTAGCTCTGCTGAGAGGGAGCGAGCTTGCTGAACTGTGTTCTGCACGGCCACAGGCCACGCACCTCCCCCGGGGCCCCTCTGAAGGTAGGAAGGGCCTGACCCCCAGTCTTGCTTCTCCCTGTTCACGGGACTTCCTGCTGGTAGCGGTGTCCTCAAGCTTAGAGAGCTGAGTGACGGGCCTAACTGAACAGTACCTGTGAAGGAGACCGGGGCTCTCACTGTCTCTTTTTTGGTGTTATTTCTTGTCCTGAGAAACAATGGACCAGTGGTCAGGAAGGAGTTGATCTCGGTTTGTGCTTTCTGTGAAGACCATTCAAGATATTTAATGATAAGATTAACACGGATCAGGGACCCAACGATTACAAAGAATGCTGATTAAAAAAAAAAAAAAAAAACAGGAATATACAACCCGCAGAATCCCTTCACTCCTCCCTCTTCCCCTCCCACTTTCCGTACTCCACCTTCTGCCCACAGACTAACAGGACAGGGGCTGGGTTTGGGCTGACCACTCAGCTTTCCAATCCTGCCTCATGTACACTATTACTAGAAACAGTGGATCCTATTTGAATGTATACAATGGATTTTCTTTATATGAGTTTAATGATTCTGTTACGACGCCGATGACTCGGAATCATAGATATTTTCAGTAAAAAGCATACGCATCGTATCAATGTACCCCCCCCCAGCTTAGTTTATCTGCAGACGCCAACTTTGTCATCCGTGGGTTGTAGTCTAGATAACAAAAGTTAAGATAATTAATGTAGTTGCTCATTTTCTTCTCTCTTCTTCTCTCCCCCCCTTAAACCGTGACCAAGAAATCAGCGTATGACTGCAGCAACTTCGACAAGGAGTTCTTAAATGAGAAGCCACGTCTGTCCTTCGCCGACCGCGCGCTGATCAACAGTATGGACCAGAACATGTTCAGGAACTTTTCCTTCATTAACCCGGGGATGGAGAGGCTGATTTCCTGACTCCTCCAGAGACGCGAAGGGATTTGCCTTCTCTTTGGGACCCAGTCTAAGCAACACTCCTAGGATTCCTTTTTCAACTTGGAAAAGAGAAGAAACACTCAACAACATAGAGACCCGTTTGCTGTTCAGCTGATGTGTTACCTGTAGCAGAAACCAACTCCACTTCACTAAGGAGGATGCCCTGTGTTTTTGCCTCCTGCCACGTTTCACAGACACCCTTGAAGTTAGGTCGTTACTAACCGTAGTTATTTACTTGAAAGGTGATTCTCCAGACTGGGAAAGGTTTGAAAACTTAACACTGCTCTAAATGACAGCTCTTCACTTAGGCACCAACTCCTGAGCCCTGAAATGCTCCATGAATGGAGGCGCGAATGGAAAACAGACTTCTCAGGACTGAGACAGCCTGTCCGTTGCCTGGTACGCGGGGCGGTGGATCCTGTTCAGCCACAGACTAGTGACCACTTGGCCATTTTATTCTGTTGTATCTGTGGAGGTGCGAATGGCTAGAAGACATCTCCACGTAGGTTTTCATGGGAATTCTTCACAATAAACATAGCTTATAACCTGAGATTTACAAATCCATTCATTCTGATTAGGCATAAAATTCATAGGACAGAGGACGGTGGAAAAGGGGAAAAGCTTCCCTGCGGGGGAAGGTTGCTTGAACACCTGCACTGGTTCTCTCGTCGGGATAGATGGTAAATTTAGAGTTCAGCAAAGAAAGCGTCCTGTCACTGTCACCCATAAACCCTTTCCATCCATCCATCCCTACCTGACTTCAGTAGCACTGCGGTCATTCAGGACCATCCTCACCTTATAACAAGAGAAGAAATGAAGAGCATAGTTCTTCTGAGAGGAAAGAAAGCCGGCCCCTGGTCATCCTGAGACTGAGGATTGGATAACTCACGAATCCCTCTTGAGCCATCATTCAAGATAAAGGGCCCACACCTGCTCTGGGCAGTAGTCAATCGTGTTCGATTAGAATTTTAACTATATGTTTTTAAAGTATCTGTGCTGTTTGTATATTTTGATAAAATGTTGTGACTTAATGAAAAAGAGGTGGATGTGTAGAAATGGAATAAAAATGCAAAGACAGACCCCTCTTGGTAGTTTAATTCCCCGTGGTCCCCTCCACCCCAAGAACCTGGTTCTGTCGTGTTGATGATCAGAATGTAGCTAGCCTTGAGTTGATGTTGGAAACTTGGGGGAGCATAAAAAGAATCCCAAAATGGGTGAGAAATTCAGATATTCCTTAATTATTGTTGTTACAGAAACCACAGGGGGTTCGGACTATTTCCAGTTGTTCAAACAAAGAGGATTCCCAAAGAAGAAAGGAATTTGTTTTTTCCTGGCCAGGGCCAGGTTTGAACCTGCCACCTCTGGTATATGGGGCCGGCACCCTACTCCTTTGAGCTACAGGCGCTGCCCCAAGAAGAAAGGAATTTTAATGTGAAAGGCGTCTGTTGGGAGAATGGGAGAAATAGGTTCAAATCTGTCTCCCAGACCAAAAGAGATTGTGGGCTTTGTAAAGAGGGGCCACATGCATTGGTACAGGACACAGTCATTGGGACAGGTCACAGGCATGGGTCACATGCATCCGTACAGGTCACAGTCATTGGGACAGGTCACAGGCATGGGTCACATGCATCCGTACAGGTCACAGTCATTGGGACAGGTCACAGGCATGGGTC